TTTCTTTCTTTCTTTCTGGTGGAACCAGGGATTGAACGCAGACCCTTGCACTTGCCAGGGAAGCACTTATTCTACTGAGCCATCTCCCCAGCCCCCTGACTGCTTTGTTTAAGGAGGCCCTTAAACAATTGAGCTAAGGGGCAGACCCTCAGCATTATGTCTTTAAAAAGCTATCTTTCTGCTAGTGAAGGCATTTGGAACCCTTTTCAAATCTAAAGTGGCTGTGTGTCTTTGGAGATTTTTGTTTCAATCTTTTAATGTACCTCACTGATCCTCAGGTCTGGTTTTTGCCAGTACCATGTTGTTTTATTTATTTTTTTTGTTTTGTTTTGTTTTTTTAATCACAGTAGCTGTATAACATAGTTTCAAGTCAGGCATTGTGATGCCCCAGACTTGCCATTGTTGCCCAGAATTGCTTCTGCTGTGCTAAGTCTTTTCTGGTTCCTGAAGTTCAGATTTTTCCTATAGTGCTGGGATTTATATTATTTGTATTTTCATTAGGATTGCACCAAAACTCTATAACAATCTTGAGTTTGGCCATTTTTTTCTGTAATGATTCTTCCAAACTAGAAATAGTGAATATCCTTTCCTTTTCTGACACCTTATTTAATCTCCTTTTTAAGAAGTTCTTTTACTTCCTTCATTAGGTTGATTGCTAAGCATTTCTTTCTAGCATATCATTGTGAGAGGTGTGTTTTCAGAAGTGCTCACTCAGTGACCTTGTTGTTTGTACACAGGACTTCTATTCATTTTTGAGGGTTCAATTTACATACAGCTATGCTATGAATTTGATTATAACATTAGAAATCCTTTTGTGAAACTTTTGGGATATTCTATGTAGAGTAACATGTCACCTGGACATCTTTAGCTTCTTCCTGTTTTTAGAATGAAAGCTAGCAGTTTTTGAGCATGTCATATCATGTTGGCTCTTGGATTTTCATGTTTGACTTGTATCAGAATGAGATAAGAAGCATCAATCCAATTTTTGCAAGTTTTTTTTTTTAAACCATGAGTACTGTTGGACTTTGTTAAATGCTTTTTTCAGCAGTTGAGTTGATCATATGCATTTTTGGGCTTGGTTCTGCCAATGTACTGTATTACACTTATTGATATTTGCAAATTAAAACATTCCTGCATTCCTGGGATGCCACTTGGTCAGGGTGTATAATATTTATGATTTGCTGCATTCTGTTTGCCAGGGTCTTATTAAGAATTTTTGTGTCTCTGTAGAGGCAGGTGACCATCTATTATGTTCTTCCAGGCCAGCATCACTAAGTTGCTATGTCAACTCAGAAGTGTAGGGTTAGCACTGAGCATCACACAAGCAGGTGAGGCAAGATCAGCAGGGCCTTGATGAAGCACTTCTTCGGCATTGTTCAAAGCCATACACCAAGTGTACTACCTCTAATCATCAATAGCTGTGGGGCAGGCCAGATAGCTCAGCAGATTAAAG